GGTCTTATATTACAGGAATCTTGAAAAATAGTGCTAGGTCTTGCTTTCGGGGTAGGTCTTATTTTCGGGGAAACAGGATATTTATCTTGTTTGCTATTTTGCTAAGTCAGTATAAATGAAAAGTAGTTGTGGGAAAAAACTATTCTGGGTTTAACCAATAATTTTAGGTATATAAATTCTCAATGGTCCAGACAACTGAGGACATGGCAGGGGTGTGTCTATTGAATAAATACATTGTTCTAGAAGATGTGCCTTCTAGAGCAACTATATGGCAAAGGGTAAAGATGCTAATGATCTCAGTCTCATATCTTTGAAGACTAATTCTCATGCCAGGGCATGGCACAGTGTTTGTGCCAGCAAAAAAACGTTGAGGTATGCAAGGGAGGCATGCCGGCAACAAGCCAGAAAAAACCTTTTTGGAAATGGGATTTGCATAGGAACATTTCTCATTATATTGTATGGATTTTTCTTCAACAAGCACCATTATGCATTAAAGAAGAACTATGAGGTGAATGATTTACACTCATTCTCATAGTTAGAGCCGATGTGTGAAATTGAAACTGTCACACGTTGGCTCTGTTGATTGGCAAGTGAGCTAACACATAACGTCGCTCGCTCATCTCCCTGCAGAGAGCGGTGACCGTCAGTCACTGTTCCCCCGCAGGGATTCCCCCCTCCTCTCTCCGATCCTCCAGCACTGACTGGAGGAACAGACAGGGAAGGGGGTGGGCACAGCTGGCTCTGCCTTTAGATAGGCAGAGCCCGCTGTCAATCAGCCAGCTGGGTTGATCTCGACAGTATTGTCGGGATCCATCCCGGCTGCGGCGCGCTCAGTATATAGTGAGCAATAGCTCGCTATATACTGAGCTTTGGGTCATGGGAGGATGTTAGTATATGTCCTCCTGTGACCCTAAGGCTAGATTCACACCTAGGCAACACCTCACCATTCGGCAATAGTGCACAATTCCACATGGATTGCCGCTCGGTCAGGAGTCACCTACCGTGTTTCCCCGAAAGTAATACCTATCCCGATAGTAAGACCTAGCGCTATCTTCAGTGATTTCTGTAATATAAGACCTACCCCGAAAATAAGACCTAGTTCGGTGGTAGGTCTTATATTGCAGAAATCCGCTAGGTCTTACTTTCGGGGTAGCTGCACATAAACTGTGTAAAGACCGGCCTCAGCTCCCGCCCTGCCCACACGCCCACCCACACACCAGGCGGCCACAGCTCCCGCCCCACCCACACGCCGGCCGCAGTTCCCACCCCGCCCACACTCCCGCCGGCCGCAGCTCCCGCCCACACGCCCGATGGAACCGGCATAACATCACACCGGGACCGGCAACAGCACGCTGCCTTCTGGGACGTCCAGTCCTTCCCCAGCCAGGTAAGACATCCCCCGAAAATAAGACCTAGTGTCTTTTTTCATGCAAAAAAGAAAATAAGACACTGTCTTATTTTCGGGGAAACACGGTAGGTGTGAACTGATCGCATTGTGGGTGCCATTATTTTCTATTGGCACCCCAGTCGCGTCGGGTGGATCGCGCGTTTTCTCGCCACGATTCCGCCCGTGCCTCCGAACACGATTGTGGCATAAACAGCCATGCGTCGTGCATCACAAAAAAAGGTACATGTACCTTTTTTTCTGAGATTGCCGCATGGATGTCACTACATTGAAATCAATGGGGCCGGGCGGCAATCGCTGCCTACATTGTGCAGGACCGCACGATCCTGAGACGTACGTCCCGGGTGTTGTGCGGTGTAGTGCAGGTGTGAACCTAGCCTAAAGAGAACTATAGCACAAAAAGGTTATCCCATAGTTCTCTTTTAAATAGGGCTGATTGCTCTTTGCAAATAGCAGGTGAAAAAAGTGATTTATGAAAAATAAAAGGTAATTTAGGAACCTTATAACCTTCTGGGGGATGCTTGTAAGCTTATCGCCATGTACCTGGTTCCTCCTTCTTACGCACAAATATATTTTCAAACTATTCTGGGCAGTGTGCTCCCCTAATTTCTCTGCTGGTGCCATTTTCTACTCCTTATCAGACGTACCTCGTCATCAGTTTCAATCAAAAGAGAACCCTAGGCACACCCACCAAGCTTTCTGTAACCCACACTTTCTCAATGGCTCGTTTAACATTAGGAGGTACATCTTTACTAATGCAAGGTGTCAGTATAAAATGATGTACTTTCAGTACTGTACAGTTCTATCAACAAAAGTGTATATTATGTCCTCAATTTTTTTTTTTGCCAGTTGCTTCAGAGTGGCGGTTGCTTGGATGCAGGAGAATGTGAACTTTACTGTATAAGTAATAAAAATCTAAATTTTCTTTGATACATCTCTTTTAAGGAACTTTGGTTGCATTCTTTAGTAATAAATGCATCACTGCTATAATTTTTTAGGTAGTAATTTAATAGAGACATAACACCCTATGTTATTAATACAAGTTGTACAGTGTGATCAGTGCTAAAGTATTATGATAGCAGTGAACTTTCAAGTCTTCTTCCTGTACCCAGGTAGCCACTGTTTTATTTTATTATGAGTTCTTGTTTATGCTATTTTTATCATCATTATTTGTTGCAATTAGTTCACATATTTATTGCACAAAAGCATTTTTTACATATCTATAAAGAATAGTCTAATAATTAGTGGTGAAAATATTTGGTAATTACAGCTGCATACCAAAAAAAGGATAGACATGAAGCTACATATGTATGAACAAGAACCACCAAGTATAAAGACAATGGTCTGTGTCTTTAATTCTTTTTATATCTACTTGGTTTGAAAATGCTTCACTACATCTTTAAATTTGTATGTAGTATTTAGCCTAGGGCTACAGAGCTGATTTTAATATTTTACTATTAAGAGATTTAAATACTTTCTGACAGTTACCTGAATAAGCTAGAGATACACAGGAGACTTTAGTAGCTCAGTCCTGCTGCTATAATTGCTAGCAATTTATTCGTTAGGTGTAGCAAATAACTGCTTATCAAATGGAACAAATGGCTCCCTATGGAATGGGCTACACAAGTAACATGCAGTAGTGCCTTGTAACACTTAATCACACATGAATTGAGCATTGTGCGATCATGCAAGATCAATTGCTACTAAATACTATTTTTGTAGCTTAGGGTATAGGGAGTCATTTGTTCCATTTGTTCAGCAATTATTTGCTACACCTAGAGATTGAATGAAAAGCAATTTTGGAAGCAGGATCAAGCTACTAAAAATCCTGTGTAGCTCTACTGTTTTTTGGTAAATGCCATCAAATGGTTACATTTCTTAGTAGCAAGAGATTAAAATTGCCAGTATAGCACTATGTTATCCATGTATTTGCACAGATTTATAGCTACCCTTACCAAATCTAGAGAGAAGCTATTTTAGGAACATTAGGCTGTAAGCTTAATTTGTGCAGGGATATAGGTGAATATGTCTAATAAGAAAGTGTGGCAACATTTCACAGTCCTACAACATGAAGGAAATCATAACTGTACTGTTGAAACGTTCAATATATCCAAGGATACCTAGCAATTTTGCAAATATAACTGGTTACCCCTATATTTTATTTGGGTGGTATTTAAGAGATTGGCAGAGCCAAGCCACTTTAAGCTTCACTTTACACTCAGCCATCAGCAGGTCTAAGAATAAAAAACAAGTGCACCTGATCCCTTTAGATCAGGGGTAGTGACTTACATTTCTTTTTTGCTAGAACTCCCCCCATTTGCATACATGTGCATGCCCTACATGCACATATTCCTGGTCTGCACCAGCTCTTTATCCTAACACTGTGTGCTGTGTTCCTGGGCTCCCCAGAGGAGTGGGGGCCCCAAAACCATACTAGAGGGATATGGAGGGCTGTGGGCGTAATCACTGGCTAGTACAAGTTATCTGGGTTCACTGTCAGACTGCCAGAACTGAGCTCAGGTTGGTTGATTGCAGTCCAGACAGAATCACCACTAGGTCTGTGCCAGGACCACGGCCCACCATTTAGACCCCTGATCTAGATTTTGGTTAGCATTGGCTAGCAGCTTTAAAAAAGGAAATGGGTACAGCTTAGCTAAACATGATGCTAAGGTTGCTTATTTGCAGAAGCTGGCTTTTTGTTTCTTCAGCTATTAAATTGTTTCTCAGTGATTTCTTAGAGTGCAGAACAGCAAAAAAGTGATAATGTATAGATTCTGATACTGAAGCCAAACATACAAGTGAAAAAGCATAACATGCTGATTTTTTTTAATTTTTGGAACAAATGTATAGTTCATAGATTACACATCAAGAGGAAACCCTGATGTCTTTATTGTTGTTCCCAGTCCTGCTGCTAGACAAGCCACTCTGCAGGCAGCCGAATTTAAACAAAGTAATGTTTACACTGGCCTGGGTCTTTAGGCAAGCTCTTCCGCTCATAGCCAAATTCATAGCAATTTTTACAACTAGCCTGGGCCTATAATGTGTGATCTCAGAACAAAAAGAGAAGAAAAAACGTAATAGGCCAGATTTACAACATTTCTTTGTGTTCCTAGATATATATTAAAAGAGGCAATGTGTTTTTGAAGTCCTTTTATCCTTTAAGTATGCAAAGATGTTTGTTACAAAATCGAGTCAATGCAGTGGTGGCAGTCATAGTGTGGAATATTTACACAGATGAACACCAGTTGTCTATTAGGACTTTTATTCTGAAAGTGTAGAAACCACTTTAAATCTTTTATCCGCTGATTTATTTTTTCACCCACAATGGCGTCTTACTCTTCAAACAAAACATCAGCAGGGAGAGTATGAACCCCCTCATAACAGCTTCTTTACATGGACAGAACTGGGAATGTAAGTGCAGAGATCTCAACAGCAGAGTTATGTGACAAAAGAATGGTATCATCCAAAACCTAAAACATCACAGTGGGATGGAATGACTATTTGAAATAGTACAGTTGTTATACAAACTTAAAATGATCATATACCTGTATTTCAGTGATGTAATCAGTCGATGTTTAATTTGTATTTCTATCAGAAAGAATCACCGGGGTATGTGATCCCAAGAGCGGGGAACAGAATTCTACCTTAAGACGAGAATTAAAACAATTCTTTGGCTGGGTGAAAAAACATGCGTACGGCTGCTCCAACCTTAGCATCAAATTATATGACCAGTGGAGGGTGTGGCTGCAGAAATCACACAAAACACGGAACCAGGTAGGTAAGGAATATTTTATTTTTATATATTTGAGGCTATTCATAATTCATGATTGTCACAGATTTCATATAGAAGATGACAGTAAATGACTCTTGCATTACAAAAAGGAAGAATCATGTTCAGTAATGTACACTAATTATTTAGAGAGTGAAAAACTAAATATTGTTCTGCTTTTATAAATTGAACAAATATATCTACAGTGAAGTTGCTGAAATAAAATTCTGACTTTCTTCAGAAACATTGATATTTGCATAGAATAGAGAGCTTTAGGGGCAGATTTGGGGAGGGAGGCAGGAACTCTGAAGATGTAGCAGTATACAGAAGATGTCTGTTAGGCCCCTTTCACACGGGCGGTCTGATCAGGTCCGCCTGTCCGTTTTTCAGTCAGATCAATGTTAAGGTGCCCATACACTTTACAACCATCGCAAGACTTCTGTCTTGCGATGGTTGTAAGCTAATTAAAAGCCCGTACGATCTGCCCATCTTGGACAGGCAGATCGTACTTACGATCATCGAAAGCCCGCCCCGCTGAGGGTCGGGCTTCTGATGACCACAATGCTGAACGGGCACTGTGTGCGTGCGCACACCGCCCCGTTCCGCAGTTGTCGAACGAGCAGGCTAGAAACCCGCCGACAGACGTGCGATTCTTGGCGGGTTTTCTAGTATGCTGGTTCGACAACAGACTTGCGACCGTACAGTAGATTACCTGTACGATTATCGTACGATCGCGGGCTTTCCCGCGATTATCGTACGATAATCGCAAGGTGTATGGGCACCTTTACTCTCTGGGCAGCAAGATGTAAACAGACATGCGTCTGTTTGCAACTGATTGCCTCTGAGTCCGTTTAGGTCTGGAAAAAAAACCAAAACAAACAGAGGTACTTTTTGCAGACCTAATTGTGAAAGATCAGAGGTACCTGGATGTAAATGGACACATGTCTGCTTACTTCAGACTGCCCATAGACCTAATGTGTCCCTACTGACTAGCCACAGATGTCACAAGAGTGACATTCATTCCATACTGCTTTGGTCAGCAGAGGGTCTGGTGGGTAAAAGTGGGCAGTCCCCGGATTTAATTATGAAAATCTGGTAACCATAACTTAAAGGGTATACCATGTTTATGGTGAGGAATGTTTTCTTGACCTTACAGAGGGGGATTTAGTGAAGTGAGGTAAAGTTTGCCCTAGGACAACTGCACCTTTAGTTTAAAAGCCAATATTGTAAAAAGCCTAACACACTTCAAAATCAAATCATCATTATAAATGTAACACCTTATTTCTACATAAACTAAGATTTGCCATTACCTAACCTAACTCTGTTGACCATCCAGACCACTGTTGAGAAAGGAGTGCACAGGAAGTACTATTCTGTGCTCTGCAAGCCCTAGAATTTCATATTAATGACTTCATAGGTGTGCTAGACAATATTTATTTTTGAAACAATGGAGCGCTTGTCCATAACCTTTTCAATACCACCGACATAAGGGACATGGCAGAACAGAACTACTTGCAGCTTGCTTCAAAACTATAAACGTATAGTAGAATGGTCCCCCTGACTATCCTAAGTAAATAAATAGCTATGATCAGCAGCTGATCATAGCTATTCATTCACAAAATGAAACCCCCAGACGCTACTGTCATCACCCTCCGCTCTGCCCCACACAGATCCTCCACTCTGTGCTGTGTCTCCAGCACAACCTGCTGTATCCGCTATGCTCTCTAAAGGGGCCCATACACTGGCCGAATTTCGGACGGTTTTTAATGTACTGGCTGAAAATTTGCAAGGTGTGTGGGGCTGTCAGCTCCCTTTCAGTCAGGATTCCTCGATCAGCTAATCGAAGGAGCCTGCTGGACAATCTTTGTGCGATTAGAGCCGGCAGCCAATGAGCTGCCCGCTCTGATCGGGTATTCTGACAGGTGCCGGCGGCACCTGTCAGAATACAATGCAAACATCTGCAATTCCTCATTCGACACACTCTTTCTGTTGATGGAGGAATCGTGTCAATTTTTTTCGTTCAGCCCGCGGCTTGAACGAAAACAATTGACAGATGTATGGCCAGCTTAATCCCACTGCTGTTCTCCCTTCACCTGTAGCAGTAGAGACACTGGACTGTGCTGGGGAGAACAAGTAAGCACCCAGCAGAGAGAATTAGATTGATCTGGATGATGAGTGATAAATATGTGTGCCATATTAACTGATCCTTTGACTGTCTTGAAGTAACACCAGTGAGTGCAGTGCTGATCACCCCGGTGTCCATTCAGAAAAGAAGTGACTGTAAACATGAATGGCCATTCTTTTGTGAATAAACAGGAAGTGTCCTGTATAGACACTCCTCTGTGCCCCTAATTTCTTTCTCTATTTTACCAAAGCCCCCAATAGTAAAACCAAAAAAAAAAATACAAAAATTGAAAATTAAAATAAAATGTAAAACTTACCTTTACATTAGCAAGGTAAGTTGGTAATGTAGAGTTTTGTGTACTATTTTTACTGTCTATGGCATACAAATATAAAAATATGTTGAAATATACAAATATTTGTTATTTATGAGCTTAATACAGTTTTATCACGTTGTGCCTGTATTAATGATTTTAGTGTATGTTTTTTTTTTTTAGTTCAATAAATTTTTTATTGGCATACAAAGATATAGAAAGTACAAACATTGTAGACTCTACCAGATCAGATGGTAGGACACACGCCACAGACAATCAATGTGATTAACACAAGATAATTACTAAGATTGAATAAGTTATGATTATTCCAGCATACAATTGTGGTAGATTGCGTCAGAGTGTTATATCCCATTGTCTGGCAGAGGCATGGTTCAGTCCAACGGGACCGACCAGTGCTAGCCAAGATTTTTACGGAGAGTTAGTGTGAAGGTAGAAGTAAAGCGGTAGATTGTTGCATTAGAAGGGACTGTTATACAGCCCTGGCAGCAACAGAAGGAGAAGAAAAGGGGGAAGAGGGAGGGTGGGTAGGTTGGAGGGACAGAACGAGGGAGGGAAGGTTGGGGGAAGTGCTGAGCACGTCTGGGTTGGATTATTAGGCCTGTGTCAGGCAGTGGTGAAAACTAGGGCGCCTGTTCACACGTCCAATAGCGTTCTATCAAAATTCGGTGGGAAGAAATTGGTGACCCATGGTTCCCAAATTCTGTCAAATTTGGAAAAGTTGCCAAGTAATTTCGCAGTCAGCTTCTCGTTAATTAGGGTCCAGTGGATTCTATTTTTGACTGCCGTGATGCTCAGCGTATTTGAGAGCCAAGCTTTAGCAATGGTCGGTTTTGTGGCAGTAAGGACATGAGTGAGGAGTTTGAATTCATACTTGGATATGTCGGGCGGTCGGACATTCAGCAGTGCTTCACTTGGGGTCAATTGTATGTTCCTCTTGGTGAGGGTGGAAAGTATTGCATTCACCTGGGACCAGAGTCTCTGGGTGATCGGGCAGTTCCACCAAATATGGAGGAAATCCCCCCGCGATGAGCATCCTCGGAAGCAACTTGGCGAGCTGCCAGGTGTCACATGGGCCATGCGACTCGGCACCATGTACCACCTGTACAGGACCTTATAGTTAGCCTCTACTGCTGTCTCATTGTGGGAGCAAGAGGCCATGGTATCCCATATCTGCTGCCACGGTATTTCATCCATTTCTAGCCCCAGGTCAGCAGCCCAACTATGCATATATTTGTGAGATGGTGGGGTGCCAACCGAGCGGAGAGTTGCATATATTAGGGAGATCAGGCCCGGGAGTGCAGATCATCTCTGCAACACCTCAAACTGTGTCAACAAAGGGCATCCCACCGGGAAGCGGATCGTGTTGGTAACGAAGTGCTTCACCTGTAAGTATCGGAAGGTCTCGCTTGGCAGTAGGTGTTCTGCATCGTGTAGTTGGGAGAAGGTTTTGAAGCCTGTGGGGGTGATGAGCTTATGGATCTGTGTAATGCCTGCGGTGGCCCTGTGTCGATAGGCCAGAGCCGACTCCATCCCCGGGATAAATGAGGAGTTATGTAGAAAGGAGAGGAGGAGTCTATGAGGCGACATCAATCCTCCAGAGTATTTGACGCCATCCCAAACCTTGAGAGAGTGTAGGGTGATGGGGTTAGTCAACGACTTTCTATCTGCAGGGGTTAACCAGAGAAGATTCTGTATTTGGAGAGGGCTGCAATCTATCGCTTCCAGTGCCACCCATAAGGGCGTCTCTGTGAGCGCATGCAATTTCGTTAGCTGTGAAATTTGGGCTGCCTGGTAATATTTAGTTATATTGGGGACTCCTAGGCCTCCCTCCCCACGGGACAGGTGTAGAATCGACTTAGTGACCCTGGGCTTACGACCCTGCCAGATATACTTGAGGATTTGTCCCTGGAAGATGTTCAGATAATGCGAGGGTACCGCCACTGGGAGCACTCGGAATAGGTAAAGCAGTTTCGGGAGATAAGACATTTTAGCGGCCGCTACCCGTCCTAGCCAGGAGAGTGAGTAAGAGGACCAAACGGAGAGCAGCGCTTGGAGTTTACGACGAAGAGGTGGATAGTTAGCGTCAAACAGAGTGTGATAATCATTAGTAAGGAAGACGCCTAGGTACTTAAGTTTCACTCTTTCCCATTGATATTGGAAGGACTCCTGTAATGTCAATAGGAGGTTTGGAGGGAGGTTAATGTTAAGTGCCTTCGATTTTAGGGGGTCAACCTGTAAACCCGAAAGGGAGCCAAAGGACGTAAGAAGGGCCTGAAGATTGGGCAGTGTAATAAGAGGGTTGGTTATAATAAGAAGGACGTCGTCTGCAAACATGCTCAGTTTATAGTGGTGGCCTGCTATAGGTAGTCCTGTAAGGTCAGGCGAGGTTCTAATTAGGTGCGCTAAAGGTTCGATGGCTAGGGCAAAGAGTAGTGGGGAGAGGGGGCATCCCTGAGGGGGCGTGCCTCGCAGTATCTGAAACGGTTGGGACCTAAAGCCCGCGTATCGTACCGTCACCGAAGCAGACGTATATAGGGCCGCAACCCAGGACCT